TGTAAATATATATATATATATATATATATGTGTACATATATATATATACACCCTTATATTAGTTGTTTCTTTTATTCTTGAGTATTCTTTAATTCAAACCCCTGTTGACTAAATATCTCGCTACGAAAGCTTTCTTCAAGATCTTTAATTTTGTGGTGTGAGACTTTTCACGTTGAAGACCACCGAGACTGTCTCTTTTCTCTGCGGCACAATTCTCCCCGAAGAGCGAACAGGTGTGCTGGAAAGAAATATCCTTTACTTCGACCATTACTTCTCCGCTATTTGGCAAAGATATGTCGAGGCTCTTCTTGTATGTAGGTGATGAAAAACCTTTCAAGGTTTAGTGAAACTGGGTCATCGCGCGCGCTGTTTCCACATGGTAGCAGCAGTTCTGCAATGTGCAGCTTAGCGTGAAGATACGAAAAGATATAATCTGCCGATGATAAGACTTCAGAGAGTGACGTTCAAAGGTTACAAGTCTTATCCTTGCGTGCATGGAGCCCTTTTCCGGTTTGCGTGCTCTTAGAGGTTGTCCGCGCAAGGTTGCGTATGAGAGATGCAATTTTGTATCTTTTCGATGTTTGCCGTTTGAATCTGAAGGTGTTTCTTTATGCGTTATAGTGTAGAGAGAAATCTACTTTTACGAATGAAAATGTTCGATAGTTTTGTGAAATATTTTAATGTATATATAATGTTCATTTATGCATTCTATCTTTCTTTGTTCCTTTTCTCTTCTTAAAAGAGAAGTGAAGAGACTATAAGATACTAACTTATATGCTAAAAAGAATATTATAGAATATTCCGTGCGTAATGCAAATCGTAAAATCGCGTTGGAGTATAATTCGCGGTGCGTCTTAAATCTCTCCTCTTAAATCTTTACGCGAATCAAATTTTTGTGATTTATTTGACGGATAATTGAAGATTTTGAACTTTACGACTCAAAAGTAATGCCGAATTAAAAAATGAGAAAGAGTTGTATATTCTACTTTATTGCTTTTTATAAATTATTCTTATAAATAACAATACAAATTTCATATTTATGAACGGCTTCCGATTACGAATTTATCTAGTAATAAAGTAACATAATTATAATATTTTAAATATTGGGATGGTGAAATATCTACTGCTTGAGATAATGTTATTTGCTCGGTTGTTTGTGAAAAAGAAACTGGTGTACTTATAATACAATTTCTTCTTGAAAAGAAGATAATCTCAAAGGAATACAAAGTTTTCAATAAAATATAAACTGACTGAAAATATTAAAGTATTTCAAATTATGTCATTGTTAATAAAATTTATTATCAAGATGGAAATTTCGCAATAATATTGTTTGCTCTCTTTACACTATTTTTATTCGTATCAACTGCGCGCGCGCGCGTGTGTGTGTGTGTGTATGCGTGTGTGTGTATGTATTAGATTTAAAAGAGAATAACATTAAAAATTTTATATATATTTAAACAAGATTAACATTTTAATTTTAATAAGCGTTATCTTTTGCATACTTCTTTGAATATTATCATAATTGTAGCAAAATATATTGTTCGTAAAACTGAACTTTCTTTTCTTACTCTTTAAATTTCTTTAGAGAGTAATAATATTGGACAATGAAAAATTTTGCCAATTAATACAAATCTGTATATTATATTGCTTTTCTGCTAGACACCATTCTAAAGTTACTCACATAATCTCCAACAGATGCATGATGTTGGCGTGCAAAATACGCCAAGTTTAATGCGAATTTACTCTGTAATATGCAATTGGATATTGTCCTATTTATATTGTCCTAACTTTTGATTAATGCACTATCGTAATATTCGTGAGAACATTTGTATTGAATTTGCGCTTATATTGTATCATGTAATTTTCATCCGTTGAAAATTCATTCGTTCGTTCTGTGAAACTCACAGTAATACTTTTCTTTATTTCGAATGAAATGTGAGAAATATTGACATTGTTGCAACATATTTTTTCTATATGAAAATCTTTCGACACGCACACATAAAATCTATATAAATAATTTCATTAATAATGCAACTCGTAATTTGATATTACATAGTGCATTCAAAACTTTGAATACACTATGTAATATTCAAATTATTTAATAATAATTGAATACACAACAGTCTTGCTAATTTAGAATTATCGAAGGAACTCTAACGATTTACAGACAGATTATTGAGTTTTAATTTTGTCAGAAGCTAAATTATATAAAGATATTCTAATTATTTTATTTTACTCATACATATTTACATTACCATCAATTTTGTGTGTATTGTCACGAGTGTTGTTACACTTACCTGCAACCCTCGCCTCTTTGCATGCCTCGTACATGTCTTGTTTGATCTCCGGGTTGTCGTCCGCGATAGTTTCGCCGACGGTCACGAATCTTTCGACCGCCAAATTTACCGCCTGGCCGACTCTGGCAACCGCTCGCAAACTCCGGTCCGAGCATAGCGGTCGTTCTCTATGTGAGATTAACGTAGAAATCTGTAAAGATATTGCATTTTGATGAGCACAACATTTAATCGAAAAAATCTATATGAAATTTCATTTTAGAAATTTCATATAATTGACAAAGAGAATTTTGGTTTTAGACTTGATTTATTAAACATTATTGTTGTAATGAATATCAAGATTATTACATACAAGTCTATTATACATATAATTTATTGCTTCGAAATATTTAATATTTAATTAAAATATAAAATAAAATTATATTGTATTTATGAATAGAAACCAAATTCTTACGTAAGTGATCGATACATTTTTACTGGAAAACTCAGTTGAAATCAGACATGATACGGTTTTATAAATACATTTTGAGAGTTAGATATTGTATATATTTATCTTAATTGAAGTTTAATTGAGAAACTAATGAAATTTATTTTAAGACGTCTAAGTTCAGATATTTTCGATATTTTGATATTATATATAGATATGTGAATTTTGGTTCCTCTCAGCGCTTATTGCGATTGCATTTCAATAGCAGGATTTTAAATCAAGCAAAAAACGTTAATGAAGACACTTTGATGAGCATTTGATGAACATAGATAAGACTGTAAATTGAAATAATCGAAATTTGATAAATATCTTTCATTTTTTACCAACACTTTAAAGAAAAAGTCTGTTTCTACATATGCACATGTTTAATCATGATTATTATTTGTTCTTGCTAATTGGACTTAAATGTGATGACATTCAGAAATGTGTTATATCTATCAAGTCAAGACACAAATAAACACAGGTCGCGCGTTAGCAGAATTATTATCACTTTGAAATTTTTAATAATCACTTTTTAGTACTTGTCATGATCGCGTTCTAATTATAAATAATGCAGTACATACATGCAGTATTTACACCGCTATCGAGTTTTGGTACACGAATGGTAACGATTTTTTGTAAAAAATAGAATACTATAATAATAGATATCAAAGTCTCATAATAATTTGAATTGTTATCATTACGAATGTATTTGTTATTGTGACATACAACGCGCGTAATATTTATGCGAGACAGATGAGCCATCCTGTATGTCATTTATTTTAACATCATCGCGACGAGTGTTATAAGAAATTAAAATTCATATTCATTAAAGTATTTAAACGGATCAAGAATGTAATAAAGTAAAACCAAGTAAATTAGTGGATAATTATTATGCGTCAACATATTATACGTCATCATAATCCAGAATATTTGTTCGTTAGATTTCTAAAAAATAAATCCCGCATAGAATGCGGTCAAGTATTCGTAGACAGTTGTACAGACTAGTACACTTGCTACTGACTCCCTTATTTTAATTAACGACGTCGTCGTCTTGTCTAATCCAAGGCGATTTCAAAATAACCAGCACGTTCGTCCGCATACCGGTAACGCATATTCTGCATTTGTTTCAGTTGTATATGACCGCGATTGTAGATGATAGCGACCGCGATATAAACGTGCTGCTTGCGTTGCGCGTGGAATTACAGCGGAGAATCTGTGGTAGTTTGTTAAAATTACTACGTAACGCGCTCCGAACATTCGCAAATCGTAGCGGCTACACTGCATTTTCCACACAATTAGACGATGCATTTGTTCGTCGTTCCTTTCAGAGATGTCTGCTCTTCAGTCGAAGGAGGGAAAAGGAATACGGGCTGTGACGTGGAGCAAAGGGACGAACTCGCGGACTATTGTTTTGAGAGATGAATGCGTGCACTGTGCAGACGTGCATACACACACATACATATAGAGTCATACGCACGTAAACTCCATTCATCCCGATTCGATCGTCTTATGTAAATGAGAGATGTCTCTGACACAGCACTTCGTTGCATGTAATTGCATATTGCATGCATGCGCGACAGCGTGAATGGCTATGCGAGATAAAACTATATATTTTGACGTTTTATTATCGTAATGTTATGACGTCGTAATGCTGTAATGCAGTAATAATCGATTGTAATAATATTGATTTGGCTGGATTTGGCGCTAGTTAACTTAATTTTCTTTTACAATTATAAGAGACATTGATAATTATCACTACAAATGGAAAAGCAAATGTGGTAGCACGTTTATAAATTGTATACTGGTTCAAAAAACCCATCTACACAAAAAGTTAATAAGTGTTTTTTTTTTTAAGAGTTTTAAATTTAACTAAAAAAAACAGGCTTAATATTGCAATGCAGTATTTTGTTTAGAAAAGAAATAGAATTATGTATTTTATTCGGCCATTGTGATATTATTTATCTAAAATTTAGAAATTTCTTTAGCCACATACATTTGAATGACTTCATTTATTCGTCGTACAGTTTATACAATATAAATATTACACCAAATTTTTTTAAAATATTGCGTTTTTAATATGCACTATATATATATATATATATACAATGTTTTATTTTTTAATTGTCTCAGAAGGAGTAACTCGAGAAGGAGACATGAAATTAAAAAAATTTCAGACAAATGTTATGTTACTTCTGATGATATTGTAACTTTCAAGCCTCATAACTCGAAAAGTACTTAAGAAAAAATATTTTATTATAGTGTTTTGAAAAGTAAGCTCTCAATGTAAGCTACGAAAATATGTAATGAAAAATGAGAGTATCATTTAAAAAATTCAAAATGACCTTGCTTTGATCTTGATAACATTATCCAAACCCATGGTACCATCTTGTGTTCTTTTCAAAATGACAACTTTTGTCTGAAACTTTTTCACACGTCTCCTTCTCAAATTATTCGCTTGGGGCGATTAAAATGAAACAATCCTGTAGGTATATGTATATATATATATGTATATATGTACATGTATATACATACATATAATCAGTAGTATCTCTTGGGTAGTATCTCTATACATGTATAGAGATACGTGTATAGAGTATTTCTATACATGTATAGAGATACATTTTGTGTATCTAACTTATATTTGAAGTACATTCAAATAGAAGTACATTTGATATTTGTATCTATATAAAATCTAGATAAAAAAATAGCATCTGAACTGACTTTCAAATGTATATTTCCTCAGCATAGTCACAATTCCATTTTATGTGTAATTGTCGATTAATTCCATTCCGCGGAAAAAAAAATAGCTTCGCTGTTGCAAAATTCTATAACATGATTGGTCTTTCCCTTAGATCCACACAGAATCTAAACGCAAATCAGTCACATTAAAGAATTTTACAGTTACACAGCTGCTTTCTTTCCTGAAGCCATAGCCAGTGATCTTAGATTGTGGAATTTCTAATGCACGTATAGTTAAGCTGGAAACACAATGTTTGAAGCATTTTTAGTTTATAAAACTATGATGAATAATGATAATGAAATAATATCGTCTTATAATTCTTATCTTAAATTTTCTTCTCTTCTTCTCTACGTTAGGCCTCTGGTCTATGTGTTACACCTCTCTCATATGTTTGTGATGCGCACGCTGATTATTTAATTGTCATGAGCATATGGGATCTACAGTTTTAATGCCAGTTCCGAACAGATTTTTCGAGAGGTATTTTTATGTGCAAAGATACTCTCGGGAGATTGTCGGCTCTTTTCCGAGGAGATATGAACGTAAATATTTTGGTTCCTACTGGGATCGAATCCGGAACCTCTGGTATAGAACAGTACGCTGTCTACCATGCCACGCTTGCGCTCTCTTATCCTAAATTGTTTTACGATAATTGTATAATAAGTTTTTTCAATTATCTAAATGTAACAAAAATGAATGAGTAAATGATTTATTTAATAACTAATACATTTTTTTACACATTATCATTATTACAATAAAATAAGAGTATCTGAAATGTATCTGAAGATACTTTTATCTAAGCAGAATCACAAATCAAAATTATGATATCAGCATTAAAATGATATCAAAATGATTCCAAAATGATCATTAAAAGTCATTTTTCAATCCATTTTCCAATTCATTTTAATGTCATTTTGATATTATCGTGATTTGTTATTCTGTTTGAGTAAAATCTGATATATATATATATATATATATATATATATATATACCTACGTACATTTTAATATGTGTATCTATATCGGTATCTAGATAAATTTTAAAAATATCTTACTCATCATTGTATATAATGTATGTAATGTATACATATATGTACAATATATGTGTGTGTGTGTGTGTGTGTGTGTGTGTGTGTGTGTGTATGTGTGTGTGTGTGTGTGTGTGTGTATGTAGCATTAATGCATTATACTTTATATTAACAATTTGCTAAATGTTTTTAAACGTTCTTTAAAGTGCGAAGAAGCTATATGAATTTCATCCTATAATACGTGTATTATTGCAATTAGTTTAAATATTTAATAAGTCTCTGAACAAGAATTTAATTTTATAATTCCCATATTTATCGAAACGTCGTTCTTATAAATATAATACTACAGAATTGCAAACAGAAAATATATATTTACAGAATATCTTACTTTTTACCGCATTATATTTTAATGACGTTTGTCGTTAGCAGGAACTTTGTCGTTACGATGGCTGCCGTTCGCAAGTGTCTCTCGTGCAAAGTTCAATATAACTTTGCATAATTTCCGCCGACCGGAACTCCATTTTTCACGATGAAATTCCAACGAGTTTCCTCGAACGACGCATGAGTAACCGACGAATAATTGAAATAGTTATCCTTTCTCTTGTAGGAAAATCGGTCATCTTGCATGAAATTTTTCGAAAGTTTATGAATTTATGTATTTGTCGACACGATATTTCATTTTTCATTAAAATTATATAAATTATTTTCGCAACTGACAATATCTTTTTTTATCTCTCGCTCGCCGCATTGATATTAACAATAATAAGAACGAAATCTCTGGCGCGATTGTTGGCGATATCGGTTCAAGTGCTATCGACGATATCGTTAATCGCTTTCACGTGCGAAATTCATCTTTCAGCTTACGTGTGGCTATTCGCGGAATTTTCGATATCACCGATGAATATTTAGCTCACGAGATATCATCAATCAATTCCGATGTCGCATCGCGGTAGCGAAGCG